CCAAGAATTTGGAACACTCTGTGTTATCATTGGAGGAATAACCGAGTGGTAATATTGTTCAGGCATTGATGTATATTTATATCTGTGATAAATAAGAGAACCGTTGTTTACCCAAAATTCTTGTTCTGGATTTCACCTGGGCAAGACGAGTATCTAAACTTCCAGACCTCGATTTGGATCCTACTGTGGTCAGTTTGAAATTTTACATTTTAAATGAGTTTAGTGCATTATTCGTCTTATGATATTCTTAAAAATCTTGTGAATGCTTCAATGCTTAGTTTCATCGCGTTACAAAGTTTTCTTCATCTATCTGAATTTTTTTTTCAGAGCGTTAGGAATCTGTAAAATGTTTTCAGTGGCCCATAATATCATTACCAGCTCTCTTGTGTGACCCTGTTGTCGTCATCGATGTTAACAGTGCACAGGAGGTCTGTTAGGTTGATTTAACATAAGACGTAATAATAATTTGCAAAATTCTGTAACATCTTTAAAAATTTGCGGCCAGACGTTTATACATGTGGACCATTAGATACTATTAATGCAGTTTTCTTTCTACTTTGAAACCGCAGTCTCACCCGCCAATAAAGCGAAACTGTGTCCGAAGTCTAAGGTACCAGTTCCGTTTCCTGGGGTATAGTGTAGTCCCTATAAACGCAAAGGAAACCAGTTTAACTACATGGTTATGAAGAAGTTAATCTGAACACTGCCGTGTGGAGGGATATGTTTTCAAAGGATCGCCTCATGCCATCACTAGTTCTGAACGAGATGGCTTTTGCTAGTTTTTATGGTCAAGTCAAAAAAGTGAATTACGCGATCTTAGTAAAAAAGGGAAAACTTACTTGCAAAGTAGTTTCCAACATTATATTGCAAGTTTACTTCACATAAGACGCGTTCCTCTTCTTGCATAACATTTTATTTTGCGCTGTCTGCAGACAAAGGAGGACACATTCATGCTTAAAAATTTTAACACACTTACAAGGCTGTAACGGTTAATGCCTAGCATGCTTGGTATAGTGAGTGAGTGGAACCGAAAAAACGAACAAGGGTGGGTCAAGGCACAACAAGTCCATAAGTTTTACTTAATAATAATATTAATCAGTCGTCAGTAATCCTGTAAACTTCAGATTCAGATAATCAAGGAGGTGGATTTCTCAAATGATAACGTAGTGATTTTAAAACGTGACTTATCTACCTAATCTAACGAGGCACTGTCCCAGGATTAGTGGTACCTCAATTAGGGTGATGTTTTCTTTACATCATCAGTTTCAGCAGTGTACCATACAGTAGGTTTTCATTGACCTAAGAGTTTGTTTTCGACATCTAGTGCTTTGTTGGATGTTCTCAGCTTGTGACGAGCTGGAAAATATCTTTACTGGATGTGCGTAGCTTACTTGTCCTGAGTGTATATAATACGTATTCATTGCATTAAAATAACGAGTAACGGATATCAAAATGATTAAGAGAAACATGTTTTTGTCGTACCAACATGAAAATCTATCGTTTACAAAAAGCTCCAAGGTGTCGGCCTGGTTACAAATCGTCGGATGTAAGTCGTGATGTAATGTGCAAGATTGCTGGTTACACACAGTATTTGTAGTAATGTATGGTACATTTTCGAGCACCTCCCAAGCGTTGGTTGAAAGGACGAGTTGATCATGCATTTGACCGTGATTGGGCATGACGTAAAACTAGAAAATATAACTCTACGATAAGATAACTTAGTACTACCATCTACCAACCTTCGTTTGCTCTGATCAACTATTAGGTTGCGGCGCTTTAGCAAAAACAATCCAGTGAATGGGTCTACGTATAGTTATGTTGAAATAAACGCACAAGTTGCCACTAGTAGCGGTCGGTTTACGGTTTACCGCAAACAGGTTTGGAGTTGGATAATTTAAAACGATCGTTTTCGTTCTCTGGTAGGATACTTACCTATGCCGCTACGTTGACGTCCCAGCGAACCTTCATAATCATATAAGTAATGTTCTAAAGACGGTTATGTCCACTGATAACGACTGAGTTTAATTCGTGCCGGCCCTAGATCCCATCTGTTTCAATGAAGCCATTCAAGCTGTAGGCGCTCGATCACGCATCCGCGCTAGATCACTGTGGGTTCACCATGCAACGCATCTAATCACATCAACTTGGGAGCTTAGTTCACTCACATCTCGGCATCGCAACATCATTTAGACATACCTTCGATTATCGACGTTTGTGATTTGTGATCTCACTTTGCTTTGGGCACCCTCTATCTGAAAGAAATAATATGCAAATGTGCTGTCCAACTGTGAATGTTCATGCCATTCTCTCACCTGAGTGCGACCTTTAGGGCATGCCCAAGTAATCTGTCATTGCGCAAAGCACTTGATGTGTTATGTGAATCTTATTTATTTTATTCCAGGCGTACACCATATTAGGCACGCCATACCATGCCAACGTTAGCACCTTACCGATGCATCACCACCACTCCCCTCAAGGTAACCCTCGAAAATTGCGCATCAGAGAGCGAACACTCAGGTTCGAGCACACTTCTCAATAAGAGTCTTTTCAACTTGGAATGGTCTCCCAGTATAAGTGATCACAGTCCACTCTCTAATTATCTTCAAGTGTTCGAATACGGATGATCTTCTCTCCCTTGGACCAGCTCTGCCTGATGCGTGCCTCGAGACTTGTTAGTCGTTATTACTACCATCTCCTCCGATCACAAACTGAATGTATCTTGCCAGTTATCTCTGTTTCCTCTCCCTTGCCTACACTTCGGTCCTCTCACACAATCTTCACTACCAAATGATAAACTAGATTACCCATCATTTGCTTAGTCCTGAAATCCTACTCTTAATAGCGTTAAAATTCTCTCCGTATTATTCTCCACAATGCAACTAACTGATCTCTGGCGTGGCAATGTGGTATCTGCTGTTATCCAAAAACCCTACTTCTCTTAAACAAACGTCCTCCTTCAAATCACGGGACACACAAGCTCACAAACAACTGCCATTTGACTAGAATTAGACAGTCGATTGGCTTAACCCCTATTCATTGCACACTACCAAACACCTGGAACTCTAATGAAAGAACAAGAATCGAGAGCAAAGAAATCGATTGGTTTATACTAGCTTGTGAAAAAATGTTGGATACTGAAAGGCCTTACGGATATTATACTTTTACTAAGAATGTTACTGATTTTGATAGCGTATGCAGTAATGGCCAGTAGTTTCATATTACTGTTTTAGAGTATTTGTGAACCCCAGGGGACAACTGTAGCATTTGCTCTAGAAAATCAAGGCCGGGTTCTGGCAAACAATCCAAACTTGCCAAGGTGGGTTGCTGGGATCCTATTACTAGTCTTGGTTATTAGGTTTCTTAACTGTAAGTATTCTGAGTTTCAATTGATTTTTGACCGGCTTCACAAAAAATGCAAATGTATTGTATGTTTATTGAGTTACTTTCCTTATTCTTAAGTGCTACTAATTACGCCCTCCGTACACACAGTACCTTTGGGCCAAATTCAAACCTGCCAAAGCTTGAACGTAGCTAAATTTATGAGTAGAATATGTGAAACTAGTTTATGATTGTATCTTTGAGCTTAACTCTTTTTCGAAAATCGTCATTCCCAGATGTCTGGTAGTTTCCTGTCCATTCAGTCTAGATTGTCATATTTTCGACGTCATCGTGAGTGAGTTTTCAGTGAGGAATATTTTATAATGCACAGTTCGAAAGCTATAAAAACCGGTTTCTCATATTATTCTTGCAACAGTCACATACCCTGTGTACATAATCTTAAATATAGCACAATTTATATTAGAGATTCTCAGTGTAATAGAATTACCACTAACAAGGCTTTTAGTTTGCTGCTACAAGTCAGTCGACTTAGTTTTATCTTCGCTGAAAGATGCAGTGTTAATTCATCCTTCCAATTCATGCAAATGGTTATCATACTAAACTGACATACGTAAGTGGACTTTTGTATGGTTTGAGTTACACAATTTATGTGTAAAGTGCATCTTAATGCAATGCTCAACTCTGTTCATGTTCTCAACGTATTGATAATGGATTCATTTGATTGGAAATCGGTAAAGTATTAATGCATTATCATACAAGTTACGCCTAATATCAAAGCTGCTAAATTCATTTCATGTTCCCGAAAGTGATTAATGAATAGTGATTTTATTGATTAACTGGACTAAAAACCCCAGTAACACATGTTGCCCCCTTATTGATATGACTGGGGTCAGCGTGGCAATTGTATTTATATTAAAAGGATGTGTTCTCAGAATGGGTTATGCGGGTAATAGATGGGACAGTTGAAATAGTAGGAAGAAGCTACAATAGAAAATCGTCCGTTCATTAAAGTGACAACATTTACCACATTACAGTCTATGATATTCTACCGTCTATCAAATCCCCTCATCCATTATAACAGTGATAGTGTATCAAGTGCTTGACATCTAACAGCCCGGTCCTGCTGAATCTATTTTATTCATCCTGGGACTAATGCTGGCTCGTACAAAGATGGCTGTCTGAAGTTCGATTACTGTATCTATAAGCAAGAATATGAGAAAATGACTTTTGTTCAATCTGCATACATAACCTGTAGCAGGGTAAAACACAATGGTGTCTAAACAGTAGCAAGAATTAGGTAGTCGAAACATGATAACTCCTTGCAGAGAATTAACGCCGCATAACTCAATATGGATTATTTTCAACTAGTTAGTTCTGACTTGTTGACTGTACAGTCGCACAACTTAAGTTTTATATATTATAAATGTCGGAAGTTTATAGTCCTAAATGTGAGTGGTTCACCCTTCGGTCACCAGCCTTTCATGAAGGCTGAGCTTCAAATATATCGACTCGTACTGAAATTTAGTGTTCAAAATGATGTAAGCTTGTTGCTTCTCTGTTTCTTCGATGGTATTATCTGCTTTTATTATTGAATTTCAGGCCACATTTATTGGCAGACTAGCTGATACTTGGATTTACAAACACTCATCACACATTGCAGAATGGATGAAGTAGAACTCTCTTTTATACCACACAACACATCTTACGTGTATGTTTCAGTTAGTTATATCTAAACTTGATAATGCAGAGCTTTTTAACGACTTACAATCTGACTAGTTACTGTCATGTATATATGACTTGGGAAAATATCCTACTGCCAACAAAAGGATGAGTTTACTGCTCAGATGTTCGTTCTTTCCTATGCTATAAGTAGTAAATATGGCCATTAGGATAGGGTATGTTCGTGGGTTCCTTTTCAGTTAGTCAGTCAGTTGCAACACAGAACTTCGTTCGTATGTATATAAGTTCATGTTGCCATACCACATAAGCACAGAGACACAAATGTCAAATCAAATCCCATAGTGATAGAAATACTAGAGGTATTAATGGTAATGAGAAGAATAGGGTTTGAAGATATTATTCAAGAAGTATAATTCAGTGAGATAAGGTTAGAAAGACAAAGGTAGAGGTGCTGACGAATCCAGAAGATTAGGATTTGACCGAGCACAACGAATGGATGCACTTGCGCCATTGCAAACGAATCTGTGCCATGTCGTTCAAGGTCTCTAACCATTGGTGACTTTCGTCTCGCGGACCCCAACCACGAAGCCTACATCTACTAACATGAGTCAGTCCACTTGTCAGTGACTTCATGGATTTCTGGCATGTTTTGGTCTGACCATCCCTAGATTTCTTCCAACCTACTCCTACACTGCGAAACATAGCTCGTCAAGGCAGTTGGTGGTTAGGCATTCGTAACACATGTCCCAACCACCTCAACTGATGAAGTTTCAGCACTTCATCCATTGATCTGCTATCCTTACCTAGTACTCGTTTCCTAACGATAGCATTGCTTATACGGTTGTCCCACGATATACGAGCAATGCTTCGAAGGCATCTATGATCGAAAACCAATAACCTACGAATATCCTCTACTCTCATTGACCATGTTTCACAGCCATAAAGTAAGACGGAGCGAACCACTGCGCAGTACACTCGTCCTTTAGTCAGTAAACGGATATCTCGCCTACACCATAAGTGACGCAGGTTGGCAAAAGCCAATCGAGCCTTCTGTATCCTTGCTGAGATTTCGTCAGTCACCAGACCATCGGCACTGATGAGACTCCCGAGATAAGTGAAGCGGTCTACATGTTCGACCACTTCACTCCCTATCACTAGTTCCGGGACCGATGCAACCCAATCCTGAAGCAACATTTTGTATTTCGAGGGAGAGAACCGCATCCCGAACATGCTTGCATTGTTGCGTGGGGTAGTCAGGAGACTACATTTTATCAGCATCTTTACCAAATGGAACTGTCATCGGCATTCTGTAGGTCAACAAGCGAGTCTCCTGGTAGAAAATCCACCTCTGAAAAGTCAGATGAAGATGATGTTATTTCTAAAAGCATATCTACGACGAATTTAAACAAGAATGGGGAGATCGGACATCCCTGACGCATACCACTTGAAGTAATTAATTCCGATGACAGTCCACCATAAGCTCTCTGTCAACCAGTTGTGTTCGAGTAGAGCGCTTGCATGAGGTTAATGTATTTATCTGGTACACCGTTTTATGACAGGCACTGCTACAGAACCTCACGATCGACAGTCGAATTCTGCTTTAAGCCAAGTAAAACGCCTATCGAAGTGTGAATATGTGGTTTACACAGCCACTTCCAGGTGTAAAACCAGACTGGTTTCATCGAGTCTGCTCTTTACGAGCTCTGGTTAGGCGTCGGAGTACTATTGAGGTCAATATTTTCGATACTATATTAGTTAGACTGATTCCTCTGTGATCGTCACAAGAGGACGTTTGTCTCCTGAGATCCACGGCTTCTTCCTATCCTCGTGGTTTATTTTACCAGCAGATATCACTGCTGTTTCCACAGCCTTTTTGATATCATTCCAAGCTGCCCCCGGATGGGAATCACTCACACGGCGCCTAACTTTTTCTAGTTGTTCGTGAAATATATTCTTAGTTGTGTTATTATTAAGTAGAACCCTAAGAGGTTTGCTTGCAGTTTCTTTCCTACGTCCAGTAAGTCGCAAACAAATACATGCTCGCACTATGGCATGATATAAATCTAAGCATGTGACATAGAACGAGCGACAGTCCTCTATCGAACCCCTCAATCGGTGGCTGATGGCGATGTGATCTAGTTGGATCCAGCGTTGTGACGACTCTGGCGGTCGCCAGGTTAGGAGACGTTTGCTAGGAATAGGCGGTTATCCGAGCATAGTAGCAACAGGCGGTCGCCATTATCTGTTTGATTAGCTGCGTTATCATATGATGTACCCAGGTGCCTTTCCTTTTCACTTAGTCTGCCCACTTGAGCATTAAACTCATCAGCTACTATTACTATATCAAAGCGCTCACCATTTTGAAGAAGGTTGGAAAGATTTCTGTAAAATTCATCTTTTAACTCATCCGAGCTGCAGTCACTGTCCCGTTTAGTCGGACAGTGCACAAACGACTGTCTGCCGAGATCCATTCTAGGAGAGCTAATTTGCCCCTAGGACTCAGCGCTATACTTACTCTAGCGAGGCCACAGGAATGGATGGATGACACTACTTGGGTCCTGTTTGAGCGTTTCGGAGACGCAACATACTTCAATGGCATGGACTTCCAGAATTCTAGTTAATGAAGCCTGTCTGTCCATTGGACACAAGGTTCGATCAATAAAATCTCCAACACGTACATTAGGGTGTATTTTCAGGTGACCAGGAATAACATTTCGTGAACTCGAATCGTTTACATCAGCAGCGTGTGTTGATAGAGGAATGTGAAAAGCTTTGGTCATGGAGATAAGAGAGTTATTAGGAGATGTAGAATGGATTTGATTGTGACCGACTCGATCTCGTGTGCTTTTATGGGTATGAGAGAGGATGTCACTTCCTGGCTGCCCATACCGTGGAACGGTACTTCTTCAGGAACCTGTAAACGAAATCGGGTTAGCGTTGGTCTGAGCAACCTGGGAGCGTGATCGCTGAACCCAAGGGACAACTGCTTAAAGCCTGTCACGCATGGCCGTTTTATGGTAAGTTCTTAAAGTGTTAACTCCGCTCTTCAAGTGGCCTTACCGTCGGGAATGAAAATCTGTGGGGTAAGTAAGATGTGGTGAGACGTTTTCCGGGTCGACCTTTTCTAACCCCTTCTTTGTGAGAAGGCAGCATCTCTGCAGATGCTCGTCTTTTGAGAGAAACACCCTGCTGCTGTCACATATGGTTCTCCAGTCGAACGTCCTGGCGTGTTAGGGCCTAAAGGAATCTTTATTCCAGCCGATATAGCTCGGTTAGGTCATCACGATAGACAATCCTGACCACCACGTCAAGGTAGCAGCTACATATATATATATATATATACAATCGCCTACAGTCTGAGTATTATCGTTCCATATGTCGTCGTAACACTAGCCAAATTCTATTAAGACAGTATTATAAACTATCTTATTATTGAATGAAATAAATACTTATAGTTTGTATCAGTAATTAATTTTTGTATTGTGTCGAAAATATTTGTGTGGTCTTTCTTTAAACACATTTCTTAACTCAGATGGAAACCACCAATAAAACTGTCTGATTGCTCGTCTGATTTTCTCCAAACGTGTCCTGTTGACTACAGTCTTCTGGAAAACCCATTTTCCTCCAAATCAGAGTCGTATAATGCTAAACAGGAAGCAAAATTATGGCAAGGATTGGGTATTTTAACAACTAGTACTAGTGAAGTCGATGGAGAGAAGCCACCTAGTGAGGTTAGCTGATTAAACATTTACTTTTATAGAGTTAATACTATTTTTGTTTGTTTATTGATGAAGGTAACATAATATCCTGTGGATTCGGTCGTGCTTTCTTTCATTATATGGTATCGAATTAACTTGTTTACTGCTGTGTAATTTCACCTAGTCAGTAACTATTATCTGCTTTATTTTTCAGATTAATAGCTTTAATATTTTATTATCAGAATTCAGGACTGACTTGAAGTAGCAAAATTATTAATCATACTCTGCAAAACATTGATCACACTAGTGCTAATTGTACTGGTGGTGTACTAATTATGGAACTGGTCGATAATTTGACCTTCAGTCGATGTGTCACAAGTTAAAACGTTGTTCTGAGATGGTGGAGAAAATTTGTAGCTCAGGTGGATGATTGTGGTGGTGGTGTTTGGTTCTCTGAGCTGCATGTTTTGGTTGTGGAGCTTTCATTGTTCTTCTGAACAACATCAGCACAAACATCAGATAGAAGTGAAGAATTCGAATTTCTCCACGTTTGACCTGTAGCTGGTTCTGTTAACCTCGATCTTGATTGGTCACTGTTGACCTTAAACCTGTCGTTGTTTGCACCTTTGTTTTGATTGTATCCCCCTTTTGATCTGTTTCTTGATCCTATGTCGCCTATGATTTTTCTGATTGATTGATAAATTGGGTCAATGTTGATGTGTTTGTTGATTGTTGATTGACCTGAGTGTCAGGCTTCTAAAAATTTCCTAGTATTCTTTGTCTTCCCCCTATTTCCAAGTTGTCCCAATCGATTTAAGTCCATAATTGTCGGTGTGTATTAATATAAGCGAAGAATTGTGGAGTTTGACTGCTAATTGGTGTTCATGTGAACGAAGCTGAATATGTCCTATGTAGTGTTTTTCTCAGACCTTGTTCTAATTAGCTGGCAAGTAGTACCAATATCTCTGACAAGAAAAAGTGACTCACAGCTTAGAACTTAAACCTGTATTTAGTAAATGAGTTTCCTTTTTAGCTATTTGACTAAATCTTTTCTTAATAGTTTACACACTTTTTGGAAAGTAAACCAGTCATTCAAAACGTGTGCTATTCATAAACCGTGCTTTTGAGAGAGAATTAAAACCTAATTTTCATAATTTGAATGTATCTTTCGATATTCGTATTCTTGCTATTAATATTATTTCTATTTGAATTCTATATATTCACAAAACTGCGTCCTCACTTTGTGTAACGAATTTGTTGGTGCCTCGTTACTCCGAAACAACAATGAAATTAATACTGGTTTTCTTTTCGAATAGAATCCTTATTACCTAACAACAGTACCTGCTCTCCACAGCAAGCGAGAATTGAAACGAATTCGTCGGGTAAGATCTTGCATATCCATTAACAGTTGTAAATCTGATTTTCTAGACAAGTGTAGTCGTTTTAGCATTTCTTTAACCTCGTCTATTAATAAAACTGCTCATATAATTATATATGCTATTCTATAGAGGTTTATTTTAAAAACGGTTGAATCCTAGTAAATAATGAAATTGAAAAAGTCTTGGCGATTGAGTAATGTGGGAAAGTTACATTTGCATAAATCGGAATCGGTACATACGATTTGAAAATAACCACTGATTGTAGTGAGGTTAAATTTAATCCACTGATCATCAAAGCTGGATGATATAGATGAAGTGCTATCAGGAGTCCTATGTATGTTGATAACACATGTATGAGTATATTTACCTAAATATTTTTAATGCGATCTAAATGGCAGATAGTCAATACCATCATTTAAACTCATATAGTTAGACTGACGCCAGATCATATTTACAAGCGTCGTAACACCATTACTTCACTTAGTATATTTCTAGAGTGACATTCTGACTGTAGTAAAACCTGGTTATCACCATAGAAATCATGTAGCCAAGTTCCTTGAATTATATTCACACTACAATCACGGTACATATTTGAGCGTATTAAAATTAAAGATTCGCTCCTCCTATAAGTTAATTGCTATCAGAAAGTATTTCACACAAAGATATTTGACTAACTTTCATTCCTGTTATTGCGTGTCTCCAGCGACTAGGATATCGCTTAAGTTTTAAGATATTTTGCGTATCGATTGATAGTTTACTGCTCAACACATGTATAGATAAATGATACGGTTGTTAGACGTAATTGGCTATTTAAAGCGAATACTGAAGACATACAATTTATTGAAATATTTCAATAACTGACCAGTTAAGTAGCTCTAATTTTCTGATGAAACTGAAGGTTGTTAAATGTCAATAGGTCGCGATCTATTTCAAGAAAATATTTTCTACTTGTTCTGTGAGAAATAAAACTTGTTTTGATTTTTGTTTGTAGGCTGAGCGCAAAAGCAAACTATCAAATTGGTTTGATCTGCCGAGACCTGATGTCACTGAAGAAGATCGTGATGATTTGGAATTAATTAGATTGCGTCGAGCTATATCATCAGATACTCACGTGAGACGATCAGATGGGAAATCTGCCTACTTCCAGGTAAATCACTGTAAATTTATGCCATTTTGTATTATCACTATTTGCTTTCAACTTTTGGCAGTAAAATCATATTTTCTAACAATTATAAACTGATAAAATTAGGAGTTCAAGGCGTTGTATCAAGATTTTATGAATTATGTTGTAGTACCTCCACATACATTTGACTTTGCTTATATTTAATTCGGTTAGGCCTTTCGACCAACTTATTTAACCAAGCCACTACCTGTATGGCAACAACTTATATGTATCATTGGTTTTTACTGTTGTCTAGTTCGTATGAGCTGGTAAGACTGAATATTGCTTACTGAATAAGCCCATATTCATCCTACTCGCTTTAATATTAATCTCTTAAATATTTCGATGACTCAGACGTTTCCCTATGTATATATATGGACATTTTAATCTTATTAATTCATTTGCCAATTCGCTTGCTGGTCTGCTGGCCCTTTTCTGTGTGCTTGTGGTCTGCTGGTCCATTTGGTGTGCCAAAATAAACGTATTCAACACTTCGTGTTCACCTGATTGAAAACCGTCAGTGGCTACTTAGTTACGATCGTCTGGACGAACAAATTAGGAGGTCTAGGAACACGTTGGATACCGACCGTCACGAGACCAGTGATACATTGGTCACCACAATGTAACTCTATTGTTTCTCTTCTACCATGTCAAAATTTCAGGTATAGGGAAAGCTTAGAACAAACATAATAAAGCCCATTCACATGTAGGTAAAGCTTTAGAATACAGTATTTATACCATCTATGTTTTCAACCACTCGGTTGTAGGTTTCAGTCCCGCTCCGTCTACTTGGGCTACGGCAGATAAGCATGAGCTGTAGGCTTCACATAATGCCCAGTACACAAACTTTTATTTGGTTAGTGAGTTGTAATATTTATTTGTTCAGTTTATAAGCAGTAGTGAAAATGTAGTGTTAAGACATATCATTGAAGAATTTTTCTCCGACTGTTGTACACTGACGTTGGAACTTACTGGTCGTTAAGTTTTTGTTGATGATTCGTTTTCTACATAATTTAGTCATCATGAACATTCTAAAACACCTTTAACTCCCGACCGAAGCTGCTACCTTGACGCGGTGGTCGGGCTTGCCTATCGTGATCACCCAGCCGAGCTATATTGGCTGGAACTTATGTTCCTGAAGGCTCTATCATTGGAGAACGATGAGACTAAAAGCAGCTACCCAAGGTCTGAGGGCGAAGTCGTACTGCTTACTGCAGAGGGGTGTGACAGCAGTAAGGTGTTTCCCTCGGACAACCAGCATCTGCAGCGATGCTGCCTTCTCACAAGGAAGTAGGGTTAGAAAATGTCGACCCTAAAAATGTCATACCTCACGGATTTCCGTCTCCGTCGCTAAGGGCTGCCCAATAAGGGCTTTTAAAAAGAGCGGAGCTAATACTGAAACCCTGTTCTAGACTGAATATTGGAGCATTTAATGTACGGACATTATGTCAAATAGGGCAACAGGCTTCATTAGCTACGACTTTAGAATCTCGCTCAATCGATGTATGCTGCGTCTCGCTCATACAGGATCCTAGTAAAGTCGTTAATCTGATTGCACCTTGTCAAAATAAAGAAGCAGTCCGATTTACTCTTCATGTATCCGGAAGTCCTGATGCTGCTTCCCGAGGTCTCACTGGTGTAGGTATAGTATTGAGTCGTAGGGCAGAACTAGTTCTCCTAGATTGGATCCCTGTAGATAGTCGCTTGTGCGCTGTCCGACTAAACGGGACAGTAAGGACTCGTAAAGATAGGGACACTCACCATTACCTCTTCGTCGTATCTGCTCATACCTCCACGGACTGCAGTTCAGACGAGGTTAAAGATGAGTTTTACAGAAAGCTTTCGGACCTGCTCCAAAAAGTTAGGTGCTCTGATGTAGTAACAATGGCTGGTGACTTTAATGCTCAAGTAGGTAGACTAAGTGAAAATGAAAAACACCTAGGTGGATGTTATGGTGTTGCGCCTCAGAGAACAGATAGTGGTGACCGTCAGCTGCAAGTATGCTCAGATAACCGCCTATTCCTAGCAAACACTAACTTGAAGCATAAGGAAAGTCATCTGTTGACCTGGCGACCCTCAAATTCGTCTCAACGTTGGACCCGACTAGATCACATCGCCATCATCCACCGATGGAGGTGTTCGATAGAGGACTATCGCTCGTTCTGGGGCACATGTTTAGATTCAGATCATGACCTAGTGCGAGCGCGTATTTGTTTGAGGCTTACTGGACGTAGGAAAGACACCGTAAGAAAGCCTGTTAGGGTTTCACTTAATGATAATAAGGCGAAGAATATATTTCAGAAACAACTAGGAAGACAGTTAGGCGACCATCCGGAAACAGGTTGGAATGATGTCAAAAAGGCTGTGGAAACAGCAGTGATATCTGCTAGTAAGGTTGACCATAAGGCTAGAATGAAGCCGTGGATCTCAGTAGCATCCACCGATCTGATGGATACCCGAAAACTCATCCAACCTGGCTCTGAACATGACGAAGATCAAAGTCAGCTTAGGCGCAGACTGATAAAAAGTCTACGCAACGACCGTGAACTGTGGTGGGGCCACACTTCGGTTACCCACGATCTCCAGTCATCTTGAGTGGCAAGTCGACGTAAGCCCTCCGAACCGTTATGAAGTCGAGAAGGCTATAGGAGATCTAAAGCGAGAGAGAGCAGCAGGTCCTGATAGGCTTACCCCTGAGATATTTAAGAATGATGGTCAAGTTTTAGCAGCTAGATTGACTAACATCTTAGATAGAATTCGGGAACTGGACGTAATCCCATCCGACTGGTCTCAATTCTTGACTGTCCCAATTTATAAGAAAGGACAAAAGTCTTCTTGTGACAATCATAAGGGAATAAGTCAAACTAATATAGTTTCTAAATTGTTAGCCTCAATTATACTTAGACGCTGTTGTAACGGTTGCTTAGATAATTCCCAGCTAAATCCTATTGCTTAGTATTCTCTGACCACAACACTCTGGACAAGTTCCCAAGAATCAAAACACGATTGAACAGGAAAAGATTATATTCCAAATAGCAAGTTTAAATGGAAATAAGAAGCCAAAGGTGATGGCGAAGGCAAAGGCCAAAAATAGATACAACGTTAGTTTATTTATAGCATTTACATGAGAAGCCTCGGATAGAAATTCACGTGATTGACTGGATTAGATTTAGCCAATCAGCATGCATCTGACAGTATGAGAATTTTCAACCCTGTGCTCCAAGATTCGATCAGGCGCTGATTGGATAGTAAATTAGCTAATCAGTGCGTAGCAACGTAGTCACGCTTTAATTCCATCTATATCCCACTAACAGTCGCCTTACTAGTGCTCGTGAAGAGCAGACTTGAAAAACCAGTCTGGTTTCAGACCTGGATATGGATGTATGGACCACATCTTCACACTAACACAGGTCCTGGAACACAGGCATACATTTAAGCGTCCTACAATAGTTGCCTTCTGGACCTAAAAGCGGCATCTGACTCTGTGGATCGTGAGGGTCTGTGGCGCTGTCTGTCATTGAAAGGTGTACTAGTGAAGTACATTAACCTTACACAAGCTCTCTACTCTAAAACTACTGGTCGGATGAGAGCTTATGGCGAACTGTCATCGGAATTAATTACTTCAAGTGGTATGCGTCAGGGATGTCCGATCTCCCCATTCTTGTTTAAATTCGTCGTAGATATGCTTTTAGAAATAACATCATCTTCATCTGACTTTTCAGAGGTGGATTTTCTACCAGGAGACTCGCTTGTTGACCTACAGAATGCTGATGACAGTTCCATTTGGTAAAGATGCTGATAAAATGTAGTCTCCTGACTACCCCACGCAACAATGCAAGCATGTTCGGGATGCGGTTCTCTCCCTCGAAATACAAAATGTTGCTTCAGGATTGGGTTGCATCGGTCCCGGAACTAGTGATAGGGAGTGAAGTGGTCGAACATGTAGACCGCTTCACTTATCTCGGGAGTCTCATCAGTGCCGATGGTCTGGTGACTGACGAAATCTCAGCAAGGATACAGAAGGCTCGATTGGCTTTTGCCAACCTGCGTCACTTATGGTGTAGGCGAGATATCCGTTTACTGACTAAAGGACGAGTGTACTGCGCAGTGGTTCGCTCCGTCTTACTTTATGGCTGTGAAACATGGTCAATGAGAGTAGAGGATATTCGTAGGTTATTGGTTTTCGATCATAGATGCCTTCGAAGCATTGCTCGTATATCGTGGGACAACCGTATATGAAGTGCTGAAACTTCATCAGTTGAGGTGGTTGGGACATGTGTTACGAATGCCTAACCACCAACTGCCTTGACGAGCTATGTTTCGCAGTGTAGGAGTAGGTTGGAAGAAATCTAGGGATGGTCAGACCAAAACATGCCAGAAATCCATGAAGTCACTGACAAGTGGACTGACTCATGTTAGTAGATGTAGGCTTCGTGGTTGGGGTCCGCGAGACGAAAGTCACCAATGGTTAGAGACCTTGAACGACATGGCACAGATTCGTTTGCAATGGCGCAAGTGCATCCATTCGTTGTGCTCGGTCAAATCCTAATCTTCTGGATTCGTCAGCACCTCTACCTTTGTCTTTCTAACCTTATCTCACTGAATTATACTTCTTGAATAATATCTTCAAACCCTATTCTTCTCATTACCATTAATACCTCTAGTATTTCTATCACTATGGGATTTGATTTGACATTTGTGTCTCTGTGCTTATGTGGTATGGCAACCTGAACTGATATACTTACGTACGAAGTTCTGCGTTGTATCTATTTATCTATCAGTTTTGTTTCTTTGTTAGGATGACATAGGTGTTTTTTTCTAATGAAGCGCCGTTTTGTTAATACTGAATTTCATACAGAGCGAATAATTGTTTCGTAAAATCCAGTAACATGTAATGATAAGTATAGGCTTTAAATGATATGAATGAAATCTGGTTCTTCATTTTTACCATTATTTTTTTGTTTATGTAGTTTTTCCTTTTGTGATTGATTAGATTTTCTGTCGATTCTGTCAATCCGGTTATCAACTATTATTCTAATCACTGTATAAAAATCACATTTTCATATCATAATATATTACTTATTTTAGAGAGGTGTAGTTTTAGATGATCCCGGAAGCTTTTACGATAGACTGCCACGAAAACAAAGAGGAAAGACACTCGTAGATGAGCTTCTGGCTAATGCTGAAATTATGAGGTGAGTTTAGTTCACTTTTGTGTCAGTCATGAAATAGCGATATACTTCGTTTGGTTTTTTCTATTAAATGATTATATAATGTCTTATCTAAGCAAGTTACTTCTAAATAACCTAAACAATACTTCGTGATCATTTATACAAATTACATCTTATTAGTACAAACTTTATATTTCAGTACGTATGCAGTAATATCAGGGATGTTAGAGTTACTAAATTCTATTAAATAACAATCAGGCAATGAATTTAATATTGTATCTGTTGATTCGCGTTCAAATACTTTATCGTAGTGTTTACGTTTCCGGTTTTTAAATTTCATTACCGATCTCTGTGAATACAAAAGAAGTATATGTGTCTACATGAATGACTGATTTTTAATTTGTTGTTAAGGATATTTCTGTTGGTTCGCTAAATACGATTTCACGATATACATGCTGAACTCTGTGGTAGCAGTTCTGTTGGAGGAAAGCACTTAAGAAATACAGTGTTTGCTGCGATTCTTGTCACTAAATATTTCGTGGCTACTAATATTTGTAAATTTCAAACCAATTTTATATAATCTGTAGGCCTATCTGGGACGTTAGACAATGAAGCAATTGCTGTTTTATACCGTCTCATTTAAGCGAACGATTAAAGCTAACATGTTTCCTACATCATCGATATAGATTGTCGACAATGAAAAATCAATACTACTAAACCTGTACTTTTAAAATATCCATTTACCTACAGGTACAATTTTAACACACCTTTGTTACAGTTGAATACGCTAATCCTTTAGAACATAAGACGTATATACCTAAATATGTTATTCGAAAGGTAAATATGGGGTCATTTTTAATACATCAGATGATAACGTATAATGAGTAAAGAATATTCAGATACAGTCCATGCACACTTTGTATCATTCCGTTCGCGGACGATTGCCAGAGGGGAAAAACATAACAAGAGCTCTCACGTAAGCCACAAAGCAAGCTATGAGGTGTAAACAGTTGTTGACTCCTCAAGCATTTATGTCCCTGTGTTTAAATCAATGATCCACCATTTACTGCCTGAAAGCTATTGTAAAGAATGGGTTTCCTGTATCCTATTAGCCTGGATTGTTTTAACTCAACATACATGTTTCACTGCTTCTAGCTAGTAAAGAGTAATTTGTGCTTATTCGTTTTCGCCTTACGTTTTCCAGGGTTCAACGGAAAAGATATGCCAAAATCGCACGTACTTTGGCTGAAAAACGAGCTGCTATTAAAAGGAAGGAGCAGCAACAAATGAAGCGCATAAAAACTGGTCGTAAAAAACAACAAGCAACAGTAGTTGTTCATGATTAATTTATCTGTATTAAGTCTACAATTTGTACATATATTTGTGGAGCAAAGTGTACTATGATTAACTGTATTTTTCCATATACTTGAGATCTCAAGGTATTCTAGAACATCTTAAATTATCAATATTATTATCACTGGTAGTACTGGGAACACAAATTATGTCTTTCGTGACTTAATTTGACTTCGAATTTATTGTAAATGTTTTACTATCAACTCAGAGAAATGATATATAAACTCACGTACATCAAAATACAACCCATATCGTACAAGGGTGAGCTAAAATATCTCAACTAAATAGTTGGTAATTCAAAGTACGAATAGTAATTTATAAAACGAATAACTATGTCTTCAGAGAGTTACCCCATTTTTGTGGTATCCTGTGTAAGGGACTTCACTAAAAATTACGAATATAAAAGAAGTTTTTTACAAATAGTCAGTTGCTGAAGGGGATTTTGGAGACTGACAAGTTCCGTTTATATCTTAAGGTCATTTTACGCCTAGTAGTCATATTAATAGTAAACTGATTGCTCATTAGGTGCTGATTTCAGCTTAGCACGGTTTTTATTTTAGTTACAGGTTAGATAATTAACCATTTTAGTCGAACTAGATTCAAATACCCTAGGTGCTATTGACAATAATGTGTACTCAGCTATCTTCTTTGCCGAAAACGCTACGTTCCAGTCAGTCAGTCAGTTGCAACGCAGAACTTCGTACGTAAGTACATCAGTTCAGGTTGCCATACCACATAAGCACAGAGACACAAATGTCAAATCAAATCCCATAGTGATAGAAATACTAGAGGTATTAATGGTAATGAGAAGAATAGGGTTTGAAGATATTATTCAAGAAGTATAATTCAGTGAGATAAGGTTAGAAAGACAAAGGTAGAGGTGCTGACGAATCCAGAAGATTAGGATTTGACCGAGCACAACGAATGGATGCACTTGCGCCATTGCAAACGAATCTGTGCCATGTCGTTCAAGGTCTCTAACCATTGGTGACTTTCGTCTCGCGGACCCCAACCACGAAGCCTACATCTACTAACATGAGTCAGTCCACTTGTCAGTGACTTCATGGATTTCTGGCATGTTTTGGTCTGACCATCCCTAGATTTCTTCCAACCTACTCCTACACTGCGGAACATAGCTCGTCAAGGCAGTTGGTGGTTAGGCATTCGTAACACATGTCCCAACCACCTCAACTGATGAAGTTTCAGCACTTCATATACGGTTGTCCCACGATATACGAGCAATGCTTCGAAGGCATCTATGATCGAAAACCAATAACCTACGAATATCCTCTACTCTCATTGACCATGTTTCACAGCCATAAAGTAAGACGGAGCGAACCACTGCGCAGTACACTCGTCCTTTAGTCAGTAAACGGATATCTCGCCTACACCATAAGTGACGCAGGTTGGCAAAAGCCAATCGAGCCTTCTGTATCCTTGCTGAGATTTCGTCAGTCACCAGACCATCGGCACTGATGAGACTCCCGAGATAAGTGAAGCGGTCTACATGTTCGACCACTTCACTCCCTATCACTAGTTCCGGGACCGATGCAACCCATTCTTAAAGCAAAACATAGCTCGTCGAGGCAGTCTGTGGTTTGGCTACGTTACGCTTCGTTCCTGTATTTCTGAATGCCGTACTAGTGATAACATGTCCTTTGCTAGAAATGGATCAATAATGTCTTTCAAATGTTAAACTTTCGGTCGTATTTCTTCATATGAAGATTTCGCTTACGTTAATTAGCATCCTGTGTTGTATTAGTTAGTGCACAGTGAGTATACATTCACTCATTAACACTGAGGTAAATTGTAAGGGGTTCCAAAATTGTCCCATTTATCCTTACCTATATTGTATGGATTATTGCTGTTGCTGAATGAGAACCATGGTGATGATGAATCAGGTTTCATCTATTTGAAAGTGGTAACACACCCACAGATCTTTACCTTAAATCATAGCTGGTTAGCTATTCAGTTTGTTTTGCATATGAAATTAGATTCGTTCATTCACCATACAAATTTTGAAAGATTCCGTAATAAAAGTAATTTCATCATACCATCAAAAGAAACAAATTAATTGCTACATTTTTTGATGAGTTACTAACGCTCAGGTTCGATAAACTGTTTCCTTAATTCTCATATAGCCGACATACTTCACTTTGTAGAGACTATTTGTCCAGATCTTCTCGGTCCCACTAATAATGTGTTTGACTGTGAATGACAAAGAATTTTTTTAATAATTTAAAAAAGCAACTGTTACTTTATTGTGGTGAATACTTGTTTCTACACTAAATAATAAATTATAATAAATGTATCCAGTTATTTGAAGAAAATAATTTAGAACGAAATTCAAGCACATTCGTTCTTTTACTGAGAAAGGTGAAAACGAGTAGTGCTCGAACAAATGAATGAAACCACAATATATAATAGCTTTGTGTTAAGAAAGTAATCCAGTAGTTAGTTGCAGTTTTCTTCATACAGATTTTTAATAGTCTCTGCAAAACGTTTACGTAGATTTATTCTTGCAAGCTTCATTGTTGGAGTTAATAATCCATTGTCTACTGTGAACGGTTCTGGAGTAAGGTGGATATTACGGGCCTGAGTTTAATGGTAAAACATGAAAAAATTGTATATATTTGCATAGATGGATAGTGGCTAGCAGTACAATCGAGGTTGTACGTTTTGTTCATTTCGGGACTCGTCCGCTGAATCTACCTATGCCACAGAGATATTGTTCATTCTGGAACTCAGTGCCGTTCAATTCGAACGCCATCGGTTTGTTCACTTAGCTGCTGAGGTCAAACTGATCAACTGCGATTATAATTCAATGGGAAACTCAAGCTGCAAAAACAAATGTATTGATCTTTACCTCATCGCACAAGCCAGTAGCCGTCTGGACTCAGTAGCTTAGTGGATAATTCGACAGCGTTTTAAGTGAATGGCACTGGATTCCAGTCCCGTAATGAATAATAACTCGGGTGTAGGTACATCCAGCTGACGAGAGTTCTTATAATTTGTTATACATAAATTGAAGAATTCCAGATTAAGTGATAAACAACATTTGATATAGAATAAAAGGAGGAATTTATTATTATAAACTAGACTAACCAGTTCAAATCCCTGTAGACCTTTCTCTCTAGCAACTGAGTTCATTTTCTTCAAGATGTATTCACGTACTTCTTTTCTGGTGCATAATTCAGCATCGGTTACTTCTACTGGTAATCCTTCATTTTTCATTTTATCCTTTTTGTCGATAAGTGACGATGATGTCTTATCCGATCTACATACAATATCTACTATTTCCTTGCGCAATCTTTTAAAGTTTGGTTTTACCACTGCTACTGCATAAGATTTAAGTGAATTACCATCAACGTATACTTGTTGTACTAGATTACATGATAAATAGGTTTGTTCTACTTTTTCTGGTGCTACATATTCTCCTTGTGATAACTTGAATAGATTTTTTGTCCGATCCACTATTTTTAATGCTCCATTCTATAGGGAACAGGAAGTATGATTGTAGGTAAATAAAGTACGGAAATTGTGCTAGCATTCTGATTTAAGAAGTATTATATGAAAAAGCTGTTGGAAATAAACAATATGTTGGTATATTTGAATATATTCTTAACATTTTACTCAATTATTAGTTAAAAATTTATAAACAGTATGTAATTTTTATTAAGAAAGATGCAACTTGTCAGATTCCATTTAGAAATCGGACATATTACCATGCTTATTACGACATTGTATATGCCGTCCTAAATTCCCTACTAAGTTGATTCTATACATTGTTAAAGAGTATCTTAAAAATACTGGTAAGCTATGTTTTATTCTCTTATCTACTGCATATCATTTGCCGAGAGTGATATGCTGAAATTGATCTGTGAACAACTTATTTTTAAAGCAAACGAATAACCTCTAGCATTATATTGTTTATCAAAAGCTAAGAAATATGAAATACAGTATAGTCTATATCTTCAGCTTCCCAATTCTTCAATTAGTTATCATAGCTGATAGATGATAAGTGTTTAGATAATGGAGAATGTGGTTCAGGATGAGAATTTTGGAGTAGTTGAGCTCTCTCAGCCTAGAGATCTCAGCAAACTTCATCGTGTGTTCAAGACATGTCTGCTGTTTGTAATGAAAACTATAAATTACTGCTGATGCAAAATATGTGAGCTTCATGTGAGTGTGGAAAACAAAAAAGGATAAAATGTGATGACCAAATGTTTTTTAGAGAAACCGTATTTATCACAGACTGTGAAAGTGAAACACTCAAGGAACACGGTGAAGTGAACTAATGCTGTTGTAACGAGATAGCGAACATCAAATTTTTAAATCTGCTAGTCCACTTTTATGTTAACATATATACAGTAAGCTTAGAATGTCAATATTGTATTTAAAGAACAAAATTATAAACTGACATCACGTTAATATTAGATATTGAAGACAATATGATTTTTTGTTAAAAGCACTTCGTCATTAAATTATAAATGTACGTGTTAGTTGACGGCAGAACAGTCCTAACGCATCCCTAGAGTAACAATGTGTAAAGGTATTAGAAATGACAAAATTTATTTAGGTCAATACGTTGCCTTAATCCTGAAACGTGAAATAAATTCAACTTCAGGAAAATACAACTACAAACATTGATGAACTTAATCCGTTCATATTTTTTATACCTAAGATTTATGTAAGTTATTTAATTCCAAAATGAAAATAAGTGTGATTTTAATTATATAATCCAATCACTTCCTGATTGGCAAACTATTAATTTAAGTAACCATTAATTTGGAATTATTGCCTTCAATTCGAAAAGGACTTACTTTTAACCAAACCCCAACATCTCCTGTGTGAACAAAGCCTTCTAAATCGAGGATTTCTTTAGTTTTCTCTTGATTTTTGTAATAACCAAGCATATTAGCTTTACTACGAATGCAAATCTAAAGCAAAATAGGTAAAACTTTCCATGTGTACGGACGTATGTATTTATTAATTCAAGTTGGTAAAAGTAATTGTAAGGTTATAACAAGGTCTTACCACTTTATACGAATACTCATCAATATTTGAACGAAAATTGGGCGCTGAGTACATAAAACACATTATTTGCCATAAGGATGTTTGAAATCACCTCAGTGATTGAAATTTCATATAATTCAAACATTTCGTTCTGCTATCTTGTTTGGTACTTCAGGGTAATAACGATCAAAACTACCAAAGAATGTATAACCTTTAACAATCCAATCCAACCCAATCATATTCACCTGTTCAGTTTAGAATCTATAATAACTTAATTTCGTTTAGATGGGGAACATGTGACAAACAAATGTGTACCTGTATATGTGTAAATTTATGTTATCAATAGTTAGTTTTCGATGAATGTCAATCGTTTGTTTATTATTCATAGACATAAAAGTGTAATTGTAAATGTGAATTGAAAGTTATCAATTACATAGTTGCGATGTATAAAATATTAAAATTAATTACCCATGCAGTCAAGGTTACAAGTGAATTAAACAGAGTGGATAGGGATGAGTTCTAATTACTCGTGAATGGTCGATTGCCAAAGTGAGGCTAGTTGAATACCATCTTTTCTGTTAAGGCTGTTCTGATTGACCCATATATACATAGCTTCTGCTGTTGGTCTTTATGCGTTATAGACCCTTTCTGAAGTATTTTGGTGCCATCAAAGTTGATTCTGTATCCTGTTTCTAACGCAAGCAACACTTTGGCGGATATATTCTCAGATTTCTTGAGATCAACCGAGGTTTTGGGGACATGTTTCGAACACCGCTTGTGTTCCTTCAACCTCAGATTCAACTGTTTAAATGTTTCACTGACATAAACTGCATTGCAGTCACAATAACTGGTCTCATAGACAACGTCCTATTGTTCTTCCTTAGGAAGCCTATCTTTAACTTTCACTAACGCCGATCTTATTGTTTCACTGGCATGAAAGTAAACTCTTATGCTTGTTTAGAATGCTGATTTCTTCTCATGTTTCTTCACAGTACGAACTGAAGATGGTGTTCTTGCTTTTTCACTGTATACACTTTAATTTTGTTTTTCATTTTTGATGATGGTCTTTATAAACTGTCGGATAATTGTTGGCCTTAATTATCGAGAGTATTAAGTTCAATTTAGTCTTCCCTCAGTTTATTCTGTTGTGAGATCATGACTCCAGTTAGCTGGATTTTTTGCTGCTGTGACCCTCGTAGAGGAAGCACGAGACGAACAATAACCCAAATATCTCTTAGAATGTGTTGACTTCCGAAATACATTATTGTTTAACTTATGATTGATTTTGTTCAATCAAACAATCGAGAAACACAAGTTTTCGGTCAGTTGATTCTATCTCTTCGGTTAGTTTGACACTTCCCGTTATGCTATTTATATTACAAAATATTTATAAACCACGACAAATATGTCATCTACATACCGCAAGCAAACTTTAGGTCGATTTATACATATCGTAAGGAATGTTTGAATAAATTCACTATAATCGGAGAAACTGGCGAACCCATTGCTACACCTTTCTGTCTGTAAAGATCTCGGAATAAGAATAAAACGGATCGTAAACACGGTTCCAAACACGTAGTGAATTTGATTTTGATTATTATTACCCTGAAGAACTTTAGACAAGATAACTGAACGAAATGTTGGAATTATCTGAAATTTCAGTCGCTGAGTTTATTTCAAATATAATTTTCACAAATAAGTTTTCCTATTATTTATAAAATCCTATACTGCACAACTGTAACCCTATTTACATAATTTTGTAAAGATAACAATTTAATGAATAAATAATGAGTGAATAATCTGACAGCTTCCTATGCATATAAGCATCTTTCTCATCAGGTACTAAATGAAATTCGTGGTATATCACCTTATCTGAGTACATATCATAATAAAAAATATCTACTCTTCTTGTGCTAATTGAGATACGACTAGATATCGGCAAACGGGACTTAAGCAATGATACAACAACAGGGCAGCTTATCTTTTCCTTGTAGTCCAGCCCAGCTAACTAAAACGATACGTTCATGGTTCATAGGAAGATTGTATCCACAAGCAGTCCCAAACGAGTGAATTAACAAGCATTTAATCCAAGTGTAATTTCTACAGTATAAAAATTTTCTCTGCGATGTTTACTGATAAACACACTAAAAGAGTATACTAACCAATGAGGTGTAGTGTCCATCCAAATAGAAAATACGAACTGAATGTAATAAGAGGTGCTTTTAGCGCGAAAGTATGAAGTTAATATTTACAAAATTAAGAGTATTACTAAGCGATTTCTGGAGACCAAGCATCCTCAACAATTTCCTATAATTTGAAAATACTCAACGAAATGTATGTTTCCGTCGTTTATTAAAACTTGAATAACAAAATTAACTATGAGCTCCTTCAAGTGATATTTGATTATTAAAATGTTTTTTTCATTTATTAAGATGAATATTAGCTAAGAAGTATAATTTTTTAATGAGAATTCTTTTCTCCAGACACTTCTTTACTTTATCGACTTTTTAAAAATCGATAAAACACGACTTCTCATTTGTTCTAATGTATCTATTATCGAGATCCAGTGTTTTTTCTCCAAACTTCTGCAAAATAATCATTAACTATAAAATTCTATTTCTTTTTTTGTGAAATGGAAATGTTCGGTAGACGTTATAGAGAATACTAATCTGTCATTGCTCTGAAATTTATTACAACTCGCGACTATTAACTAGCACCCGAAAAACATTTAATGAAATGCAACAGAAAGTTACCTCTCCCATTTGATCTTTGGATACGAGTATACCCATTTCCGGAACATCTATTAGTTTGATTTGCACTCCAGGGAAAATAGCTCCAACATGATAAGCATCTACATCTTCAAACATTGTACTGGATACCAAACCAAGTGTTTCCGTTGATCCGTATACTTCGATAACCTAGCCGGTGTTTAAAACATTACTATTCGAGTTGTTACTCATAAACAGAATGATATTCATTAAGTTGTGTATACAACGTATGATTACTTGTATTTAATCCTGTGTAAAATAGTAACTCATCTAAGTTGAATACCTTTGGTAAAAATATTAATGCTAACTTCTAATTGTAGTTCGCTCCGTTTTACTTTATGGCTGTGAAACATGGCCAGTGAGAGTAGAAGATATTCGTAGGTTAATGGTTTTCGATCATAGGTATCTTCGAAGCATTGCTCGTATATCGTGGGACACCCGAGTGAGCAACGCTGTTATTAGGAAACGGGCACTAGGTAAGAATGGCAGATCAATCGATGAAGTATTGAAACTTCACCAGTTGAGGTGGTTGGGACATGTGTTGCGTATGCCCAACCACCGGCTGCCTCGTCGAGCCTTGTTTTGTAGTGTAGGAATAGGTTGGAAGAAAGTTAGGGGCGGCCAAACCAAAACATGGCAGAAATCCATGAAGTCATTGACTAGTGGACTGAGCCATGTCAGTAATTGTCGACTACCTGGTTGGGGTCCGCGAGATGATAATAATCGATGGTTAGAGACCTTGAATGACATGGCTCAAAATCGTTCGCAATGGCGCAGGTGCATTTATTCTCTGTGTTCTCTCAAATCCTAATCTTCTGGATTCTTCAACCCCTCTAGTTTCGACTCTCTAAACTTATCTCACTGAATCATACTTCTTGAATAGTATCTTCTAATCCTAACCTCTCCGATTATTTCTAATTCCCTTACTACCTTTTCTACAATTGGATTTGAATTGACGATTACTTCTCTGTGCTGATGTGGTATGACAACATGAACTGATGTACTTATGTACAAAGTTCTACGTTGCATTTGACTGACTGACTGACTAATTGTTTAGAATCTCCAGAAACGTTAAAATATACTCATACAGTATTCGGTAACGATCCAAAATTACGTATATTTCCATAAAGTATTAATTAGAGTACATTTTGGGCAGCTGGAGTACCTGTTTTTGATTAGTATATCAGCAAGAGACGACGGTTTACACTCAGGTAGAATCTTAAATCTATAAAATCATACCTGTCCTTTTTCTAAACTCTAAATTCATACATGGATGATGGGAAGTATTTTAAATCTGTTTTTGCATTCGTTGAACTTGAAACACACGGATAATGTAACTTTGAAAATTTAATTATTATTAAGTTTTATTATATAAATTAAATCTCTATTGTCAAGGGCAATTTTACATTGGTTTTCGAGAGAACCACGTGTTAGCATTTCGACATGAACAGTTTGGCTCAGTCCCGTGGTGCAACCAAACAAGTACCTGATACCCTGACGGACCATTCACACCATTTATATACACTAGTACATATATAGTAATTATTTCCGATTCATGATCGTGTCAATCAATATGCACTGCATGAATAGGCCCATCCCGCTTACATGACTGTCAAACTCATTATTATTAGCAATGGTGATAGGCAATACAGCACCCCAATGACAAAAGCCCTCGGAACTGATGCAAAACAACCACCAGTATCAATGAAATCGGTCGCGCTGCTAACCATATTTGTATATGGACTGTTAGCGATGCTTGCCAAGGCAATGCCAAGCCATTCACAATGTTCACACCGAAACTCTGTTCCTATAGGAAACCTTCAGCTCTATATGGCAGCATATCATATGATGTACACATATGTGGCTTAGGATAGCAGGAGATGCAACCCAGCTTGACGCGAACAGGCCTAGACACTCCTAATACTCTTTGTCTCATGTCCGGTAATGATTTTTTTGCAGTTCCGAAATTTCCATTCTTCAACCATATGAGACCTGAGTTAGGGATAGTATCTCTTTGTAAATTTTAATGCTAGTTCTAAATTGCATAATTTAATAATGTCCCTACTTACTTTAGACTTGTCAGTAGTATCTGTTTCAGATTTTATGAGTTCTGCCTTTTTAATAGTTTACTTCTGTATTATCCTTAGTCTGAGTCCTGGATATGTGATAAAACTTATCACACCAATATTTATCGAGTAATATCATTAGTGTGAGTCGTTAGAAACTGAAGATAGCTTATGAAATAAACAAATCCTCAATATTCTGTTATGACCGTCAGTAACAGCTATTAAATGGTCGATTTACTGAATTGATTTTGATCTGTTGTGAATACAACCTTACAAAGTATTTAAATGGATTCTTATTGATTTAAGCAATTATAACTACTTGGTCTCTTGATTGGTACATGCCGAACGTTTATCGGTCCCATTCAAACAATATAAATTGTCTGTACTAGTTGAGTGTTGATGCTGTATGTATAAATAAGCATAAAAACAGGAATTTTCTGACAAAAAAAATTTTTTCAAAGATCAAACTTACAGGACAGCTCAAAACGGCTCTGATGAAGAATAGAACATCTCTATCTATTGGAGAGCTACCTGAAATTATAGCTTGCACTCGGCCACCAAGTAACTCCCGAAACTCTCGAAAAAACAAGAAGTCTATTATTCCATTTCGTCTATATATTCCACTAAAACAAGTAATGATTAGAAAAGTTATTCTATTTAAGGCTTAAAAAATATGTGGAACATAAAGTTACTTCAGCTGAAACAAACAGAATGAAAACTTAAGTATTAAATTTTTTAGCGATTAAAGTATAATTTTCACAAATAATGTATTCTATATGCTCGGAGCCCGATTTTTGTCAAACTGTTCGTTCAAATATAGACGAATATTGGTATAGATTAATTCTTCCTTTCATTTTGTTTAATTTACATGATAAATACAAAAGGGATTGCATTCACACACACATACACTAACATATATAATCATACTATTCACTTTTTTAGTTTTGCTTATTTACTTACTGTTTCTGTTCTTCCATTCTCTTATTTATTTCGTATTGACATATTTTCCAAATTATTGGTTTAGAGTGCAACCTTTCAGAAAATTTCATATATATTCGAACAAGTAATCTTGGAACAGAACAGAAAAACGATGGCTTAAAATCTCTAAGATCATCAAATAATGACTCAATGCCATCAGTGAGAAAACCTATTCGACCACCAACGAACAAGGCCAACACCTAATTAAAAGAACATACAATGAATTCAAGCTGAATATCAATTTAATTGTGAGATGAAGTCAGTAAAAATAAAGTATTTGAAAAAAATTAATCGTAGTTCTTTTTAGAGAATATCTCAGTTACAGAACGAAGATTAGTTATTTGTAACTACAATAATGAACGAAAAGCAAATTTCGTAATGAATAATTTTTACACTTAGTATATATAAATAAATATATATATATATATATATATATATATATATATATATATATTATTTATACGAATATAAATTATTCGTTGAAAACTTACCATCGTTAGCTGTTCCATTACATGTGATAAGGGCAGGAATGAAACATGTGTCAAATCTTCTTTTGAAAAATGCTGAAACGGAATAAAACATGCCCGTAGAAAAACAAGTGCTAACAAACAAAGACTGCAACACAACCTGAGATAATGATACTTACTGTCTCCCATCAGATACAATGAGTATTTTTTTGCAAGGAAAAAGCTTTAAGACAAATCAGATCGAACCTGTTAAACCCACACATTATTTGTAAGAACTACAAAATATTGATATTGTTGATGTAAAGGCCAATAGTCTTCTAAGTCATCTTTTTAAAAATGTAAAGCATTCGAGAAGATTTTTGTTGTGCAGGAAATGTAATGTACTAACATTTAAATCTAAAGTCACGGAAAAATCTTTTATTCTTCATCCAAGTAGACTAAATCAACAGGTAATATTTTGTGTTTGACTAGTAATTTTTAGTAAGCATGAAACATGGTAACTCCACCTAGAGCCCCTATGGGGCTACTGAAGGTCCCAAGCCCGGATAGGAGAGTAGGGTTAGGCTTGGAGTTGGCCAACCCACTCCGTAGAAAACTAACTCGCTAAAAAACGCTGAACAGAAAAAAAATTCCAACCATTTTAACTCTGTCCTGGGACTTAGAAGGTCTTCTTTCAGAAGAATTATGACGTCTCATGATGAAAGCCGAATCCTTCATAATTCACGAGGCCAATGCCGCTTGTGGCAATCAGAAAAACCATTCTTATAGGTACATGGAATGTTCGGACTATGTAGGAAACCAAAAGACTATTGCAAGTTGCTGCAGAGGTGAAAAAATACAACCTGGAGGTGCTTGGAATCGGTGAAACGCACTGGAAGCAAGTTAGACAACTAAGACTTGCTTCAGGAGAGCTGCTGTTATACTCTAGTTATTAAGAAGAAAATGCCTGATACACATGGAGTCGCAATGATGGTGTCCAAAGAAGCACAAAAGGCACTGATAGGATGATAATCTCATGGACCCAGGATCATCAAAGCATCCTTCAAAACAAAGAAAGAGGACATCACAGTGAATGTAATCCAATGTTATACACCTACCAACGACTACAATGACGACGATAAAGATCAATTCTACGAGAAGCTGGAGTCAATCGATGACGGATGCTCACCAAAGGATTTGATCATTCTAGTGGGAGACCTAAATGCCAAGGCTGGCATGGACAACATTAGATATGAAGACATCATGGGACGACATGGACTTGTAGAAAGGAATGATAATGGTAAGAGATTTGCAAACCTATGTGCCTTCAACAAACTGGTCATCAGCGGCACAATATTCCCATACAAACGTATACACAAACCTACATGGATTTCAGCGGATCACACTACTCAGAACCACATCGACCATATCTGTATCAATGAAAAGTTCAGTTGGACCACGGAGATCGTAAGAACCAAGAGAGGAGCTGATATAACCTGAGACCACCTCATGCTGGTCGCCAAAACGAAACTGAAACTCAAAAAGCACTAGAAAACAAGGCGGACAGCATAAAAACTGTTTAATATGGCCTTTCTTTGGAAAACTGACAAACTTAACGGATCCAGAGTCGCTCCAAACAATAGGTTCCAGACTCTTCACAGTCTACTTAGTGAAATGGAAACAACCATGGAGAGCAATTGGAAAGAGATCAAAGAGGTAATCACTTCAATATGTCAGGAGATTCTGGCACACAAAAAGTACAATAACAAGGAATAGAACTCTGTTGGTACTCTTAAAAAAATTGAAGAAAGGAGGAACAAGAAGGCTGCAATCAACATCAGTCAAACACAAGCTGATAGAGTCAAGGCACAAGCTGAATACATAGCAACAAACAAGCAAGTGAAGAAGAGCATCAGATTCGACAAGCATAAATATGTGGACAATCTAGCAATGACGGCGGAAAATGATACAAAAAAGGAAACTTGGAACAATTGTACGATACAACAAAAAAGCTCGCTGGAAACTACCGTAAACCAGAACAACCATTGAATAGCAAGGAAGGCAATGTAATCAGCAATAATGAAGAACAGGAAAACAGATGGGTAGAGCACTTTAAGAAACTCTTGAATTAACCAGCCCCACTGAACCCTCTCAATATCGAAACAGCACCCACAGACTTGCCATTCAATGTTGGCCCACCAACAACTGCAGAGATTAGCATGGTCATCAGACAAATAAACAGCGAAAAAGCAGCGGGACCACAAAACATCCCAGCAGACGTTGAAGCAACTGCAGAAATGCTGCGTATTCTCATCAAAAAGATCATGGAGGAAGAACAAGTACCGACAGACTGGAAACAAGGATACCTGATCAAAATACCAAAGAAAGGCGATCTCAGCATGTGTGAGAACTGCGGAGGCAGCACTCTTCTCTCAGTGTCAGGCAAATTCTTCAACGGTGTGTTGTTAAACAGAATGAGGAACCTCGTAGACGTCCAACTTCGAGATCAACTGGCTGGATTCCGTAAGGTTCGATCGTGTTTCGACCAAAATGCAACATTATGGATTTGTAGAGAATCCTCTTCTATGAAGAAAAAGCGATTGGTTTAATAGAAACATTCCTTATTATAACCAATTGTATCAGTGACTTTTCAACTATACTTTTTGTCAATCACACATTGTACGCGCAAACTTTCCGTTTGTATTGCTGACATTACAGACCATTGTTGCACAATCAATTGAATAGAACTCTCCACTGTACATCAACTTCATTGACTACGAGAAAGCATTTGAAAGCGTGAACAGGACAACACTATGGAGGCTTCTTCGACACCACAGCGTGCCTCAGCAGATAGTCAAAATCATACGGAATTCTTATGATGGAATAAACTGCAAAATCGTGCATGTACAACAGCAGATGCAGACCGGTATCAGGCAAGCTTGTTTACTCTTACCCTTTCTCTTTCTCCTGGTGATCAACTTGGTTGAGATGTCAACATCTGGAGGGAAGCACTGTATACAGTGGACAGCCAGGATTCTGCTGGACGATTTGGACTATTCAAATGAACTAGTTTTTCTATCACATATGCAACAACAAATGCAGGAGAAGACGACCAGTGTGGCAGCAGCCGCAGGCCTCAATGTACAAATAGGGAGAAGGATGATTCTCCGGTACATAAGAACGTGTACCAACCAAATCACTCTTGATAGCGATGCCTTGGAGGACGTAAAATCCTTTACATATCTGAGCATCATCACCGACAAGCGAAGTGGATCTGATAAAGATGTCAAGGCATGGTTTGGAAAAGCAAGGGCTGCATTTCTACGATTGAACAACATCTGGAACTCAAAGCAAATGTCAACAAACACCGAAGTCAGAGTTTTCAACACAAATGTCAAGGCAGTTCTACTGTATGGGAGGAAACTTACAAAACTAACAAAGTCACCATCCAGAAGATTCAAATGTCTATTAACTGTTGTCTACGCTACGGATCTGGTGGCAAGACATTATCAGCAACAACTCACTGTGGGAGCGAACAGATCAGATTCTAGTGAAGGAAGAAATCAGGAAGAAGCGCTTGAAGTGGATAGGACATTGAGGAAAGCACCCAACTGCGTCACAAGACAAACCCGAAGTTGGAAACCTCAAAGTTAAAGGAAAAGAGAAAGGACAAAGAATATATTACTCTGAGAAGTGGAGACAGATATGAAAAGAATGAACAAAAATTGGATAGAACTGGATAGGGAAACCCAGGACAGAGTA